TTTTTTTTTTTTTTTTGTGTCTGTTACCACTTTTTCTCAGCTCTCACCGAACCAATTTCTTTTAATGATACGTCAAAAGATCACAAATTGTATCTAGTCGAAGACATTACCCTCAAAAATTGAAAAAAATGACCTCGTTCCCCGTAAATGTTCCCCCATTCCAAAAAAATTACAAATTTAAAAATCGCTAATTTTCGAAATTTTTTCAATTTTTTTTACTAAAAACTGCCGTAACTTTTTCAAAAATGAACATATCAATATAATTTTTTTTTATATAGATGCTTGATGTCTTTACCTATCATTTGGTATATTTTTTTTGTAAATCTGACACTTAACCTGCCCACAGGGGGGGATTTAAAATGACAACTTTTTCACAAAAAATTAACTTTTTCAACTTAACTTTTGAAAATGTTCCGGAAGGTCTGACACTTTTATATATATCTTAAATTAAAGCTAATGTAATATTCTATATGATGCAAAAAAAAAAATGTCGGACTTTATTTTATCTTCACGGTGAAAATGGCTACCAAATGCTATTATTGTGTGAAAATTCTCGATTTTATATTTTACATTTTTAACTTTATAATGCTATGACATATTGAAAAGTGTATGGATCAACATTATTTTTTTATGAGAAATAATATTTTTTAATAAACCCTTTTTCATTCGACATACTTTATCTTAATCGAGATATTAATAAGGAACCAGCAGATCAAGTAGCTTTTGGAATAAAACACCAATTTTTTTTAAATTAAACACTATCTACAGATTTGCATCGAAGCGTTTTTTATGATAGTGATTTTAATCACTGTCAGATATCATCTATACTGGACCTAACTATGCCACGACCCCACTGTGCCGCTACCCCACTGTGCTGGGTTTTTTACTTTGTCAGTGGCAACCGCTAAGGTGAGAAATATTTATATTAACTCAGCGATTTTCGTTTATTAAAAAAATAAATCAAAGGATTTGTATCAAATTTTGCGTAAAAAATGAAATGAAGTGTGAAACAATGTGAATGAAATTTTAATAAAGATTAAAATCACTATAATGAAAAACGATTTGATGCAAATCTATAGTGTTTAATTTTAAAAAGGAATAATTGAAAAAACAAGAAGAATTCCTATTTCATTATTTTAATTCTGGTTAAAACTTTTAGGATTTATAAGTATAATACGTGAATAAATACTGCAATTAAATTACATTTAGTATAAATTTGATATTTAATTATCTACTAGTGGAATAGATTTAACTGACAACTCATATAACTTATAATTTACGTAACATTTTATTTATTTTTTTTTTAATCAATTTTTACATTATAGGATTTTATTTAAAATATATTTTATGTTATTTTTCGCAATTATAAAAAATAACTAATAAATGGCTATATAGTAACGTCTTAATTGGAAACATTATGTACATTAAAAAAGTTTGAAAATAAAACAAAAAATGATAAAGTTATATTGGCTAATCGGGAAACATTTCGAACTTTCATTAAATAACAAACCTCTACTTTGCTATCATAAAACCAATTTGGACTTATAGTGTACAACTGTGGAGTTGTACTAGTAGGTCTAATATTAATGTTATTCAACGATGCCAAAAGTTTGCACTACACTGTGATATATATTTGCGTACAATAGAAAAAAATAAAGAGATTTTTCCGCAAATATGAGATTAGGTTAATAAATCTTATTGACACAACAGCCATTCAACTTTTGGACAACTCCAAAGACATCAGACGCTTTAGATATCATAAACCATATGACTTGGTTTAAAGATTAGTTTTTAAATTAGGTTAAGGAGCCACCTCATTGGAGGTGTTTTTCCTTCACACATGTGTATTCTTTATTTTAATTGTTAGTAAACTATGTTTGATGTACAATTATTATAAAATATATAAGTCATTTGGTAGTTTGTTAAAAAAAAAAAATTAATATCTCCTTTAACAAAGAAATGTTAAAATGAAATAAAAAATATGAAATCATATTAAAAATTTAAGTAGTAGTTATAAATACTTTCAGGGGGAATTATTGCAGCTACCAATGTTTTCAATAAATTACAATTTAAATTACATTTATCTAAATCAATCACTCTGTATTTTTACATTTATATAAAAAAGACTTTTTGTATTTCCATTTTATTTCTATTGCTAATTTTAATCTAAAATCTTTAAGATACTTACCTTCATCAATTGGTTCATCTGTATAAAAACACATAATGTCTATTAGTGTTATGACAAATTGACTTAAGATTAGTTATTGAAATGAAAATTATAAGAATATGCTCAATAATTTAATACTGTTAAAAGTATAATGGGCATGATATTTATCACGACACAAACAATTTGAAAATCAATACAAAACTTAATAGCATGAAGCAAAAATAAAATTCATTTCATATTATTCTACAAAATGTTAATTTTTATGTTATTTTAATGTAAATACAATTTTTTTTATAATAAATAGTTTTATTTAATCATACTTGGAGCTTTAAGTATCGTAGTTTTCGCAATGTACTTTTCAAACATATCTTTAGTTTGAAAAAGTTTTTTAATATCTTCGTTTGATACTAGATTCTAAATTTATGAAATAAAAAAAATATTTCTTTAACAATGCTGGTAGTTTATTTTTAAGATCAAAAAAGTAACTAACTTCTATAATATTTCGCGCAAATTGCTTTCTTATTTTTCGATCTCCGCATATTAATTCAGACAATATTATGGGAAAATGAGTAGTATAAACACGTTCAACTGGTACCATAAACGGTGTAAACTCTTGATTCGTAATGGGTTTTTTGTATGTAAATCCTAAACTGCTGCATTTTTCTCTTTTCCAATCTTCATCAATTGGATTGAAGTAAACTGGAATGTTAGTTGATTTATATTCCACAGTCAGCGCATTATTAGTAAAATAATACATATTAGGAACTACTATGCCCTAAAATGAGATGATCTTTGAAGTGATTAAATATTTATTTGAATTAGAAATATTTTTACCTCATAAAAAAATGTTGACTTGATGTAACAAAGAAAGCTAAAAAATATTATAATTTTAATAAAACAAAAAGCCATGTTAGCAAATGATGCGTTGGTATATTTAAAAGCGTCAATATTTTTATATAAAATTAATATCTTTAAATTAAAATATCATAAAATTTATATTATACAGTTTTTCGTCCAATAAAAATGAAAAAAAAATGATTCGGCTTAATGGGCGAAATATAAATTTAAATACTTTTATGTACAATTAAAATATATTAACCGAGTATGAATATAGTAAATAGTGTAATAAAAATAACTACTTAATGCAGAAAACAATTTTTGGATACAAATAGAAAAAATATTTTTTAAGATTTCTTTAAAAATTGTAAAAAAAAAACAATAGCCAAAATATTATTTTCAGTTTATGTTTTTTTACTCTAAAAAAAAAAATATATATATATATATTATTATGTTTATATTCTGTAATTTTATATTTGCAATTGGATAAAATTATAGATATTGATATTACAAACAACTTATTACTATAAATAATTTTATAAAAAATTAATACAAGAGTAACTTTATATATATTTATAAAGTTATATATATATTGTTTGAGTAAGATTTAAACTCAGGAATTTTAATTAAATCCATGAATCGGTTTTTTTGTACGCATGGTCGGCCAAAATACTGTCTTTATCTTCCCAAATAAAAGCACTCTTTAACAGATAAAACAAAAAAATAATTTGCTTAGATTTTTTCTAGAACTATAATTTCTGAGCAAGGAACTAAATAATCCTCTCTAGAATATAGGTCTAGGAAAAGCAAAAAAAATTTTCTTGATGTGAGACTGGTTAAATCAATACTTATGAAAAATTTAAGAAAAAAGTATCTTCTTCTTGTAATTCGAATTTGTATATCCACACGAGCCGTACGTTATACTACCCTGGAAATAGTCTGCTATGCTTGATTGAAGATAAAAAGCAAAATTTTAAATAATAAACATTTTAACAGTTCGTGTTCTACCGCCGACAGTACAGCACGTGTGCTCCGCGTTAACGTTTTTTAGCTCTCGATAGCACGTACCTACTCCACAGCTGGTGTTACCAGGTAATATGATTATTTAACGATTTAATCACTTTACATAACGCGCCCTAATATTCATAGACAACATGAATAGATCCCCCTCGGGCGATTCGCCCAAAACCAACTCATCTTTACCAATCAAACATCTCACCTCTAACATTTCAAATAAAAAAAGTACAATACCTACACTAAAAAATATCAATTCATCATCTACAAAATCATATCAACCCAACAAATTCAACTCAAAATCAAACACGACATTGCACGACAAAAGTGTGTGATTGTCAAACTCTTCTAACAACCATTCCCTACCTGACTCGCCGTCTAAGAATAAACACCAGACCACGTATGCCCTTTCCACCGATAACACACCAGTCTCAGCCGCTATCGCAAATCAATGAACCCACACTAATGACTTTCAATCGTCTACTGCACACTCGATTAAATCCACGCCTATTTACACAAATACCAGCATGAAATTCGCTACAGTGACTGCAACGGAAAACACTCCGAGCAGAGAACAAGCGATAGTTTTCAATTCTATCGATGGAATACCTCAAATCGAGTACATATTAGCCATTGGTAAAATAGTTAAACCTATAAACATTATCTTCATTTCGCGTATCTCAAACCAACGCTTCTGTATATTTTTATATATTTGTATATTTTTTTTATATTTTTTGTATATTTTTATATTTAATGCAACAAACACAGACTAAAAAAATCAATGACCAATTAATTCAAATACGCAGAGTGGTTAACCCAACCAAACGCATTGTTATATCCAACGAATATCTGTCAATCCCCAACCGGGCAATATTGGACGCATTAAAACATATAAATATAAATCCTATCTCACAGATTAATCACCTAAAAGCCGGCATCAATATGGAAGGCTACGAGCATATCATGAGCTTTCGTAGGCAAATATATATCAACCATGAAGATATACCCAAACTGCCCAGCTCTATGCTAATCTCCCAAAACGATAATGAATTTAGAATATTCTTTACGGATGACACATTAACCTGTTTTTTATGTAAAGCAGTTGGGCACACATCCAATAACTGCAAAAAAAACTCCAAAAAAAATTCTACTATTGAACCTATAATCAACACTAATTCTACTAACGATCTCTACAACACCAACAAAACACAGCCCATACTTACAGATGATGATACACATTCCTCTACCTCCAACTCCCATCTCGATGGAAATCAGATACAGACAAATACGGATTGGTCCTTAGAAACTACTCCCGAGGCACATCCTTTACCCGATAATCTCGAAGAACTCCTATCAACGCTGACACAAAAGGATACTTACAAAAGACCAATCTCCGACGCATCGTCCTTAAAACCACCAGATTAAACATCGGTATATCGCCTTTAATGGACATATTAGAACAAATATGGCCACTGGTTACCGATCGATCATTAAAAAGTCGACTAACTAAACTGACTAATCTTCTCTTCCAAGCACAACCCAGTACATCAAACTAAATCCTCAGATAAAAAACATACCTATAATACACATAAACAACCCTATCAAATCTACATTCCAAACCCATGATAAATATCATCCAATGGAATTTGAACGGGTTCTATTCAAAATTTGAAGAACTCCAATTACTAACTAAAGATTATGCTTCTACCATAATATGTCTACAAGAGACAAACCTCACAGACAGCCACAAACCTTCGACATCCCAATACAATATTTATAAAAAAAACCGTAATATGTGCGACCGAGCCAGTGGCGGGGTAGCCATTTTGGTCAGCCAAGAATACCCTAGCGAAGAATTACACATACCCACTGATATAGAAGCTGTTGTGGTATCAATAACCTTACCCCATAATAAAATAACCATATGTAACCTATATTTACCTAACCAAAAAAATTTCTCACTCACTGACATAGAAAATATCACCTATCAACTTCAACAGCCTTTCATAATAGTTGGTGATTTTAACAGCCATAGCATTAACTGGCGATCTTATAAAACTGACGCAAGAGATAAAATAATTGAAGAGTTCCTCACGCAAGACAATCTAGTACTACTAAACACTGGCCAATCTACCAGAATAAATCCCTCAAATGGGAAATTTTCCGCTATTGACCTTTCTATCTCTAACACTGCCCTTGCACACAAACTCGAATGGAAAGTTCTCCCAGATATATACAGCAGCGACCATATTCCCATCCAAATAACCTTCACCGACCCGTCAAACAACAACGACTTATACTATCCTCTAAAATGGAAAGTTAAAGAAGCCAACTGGAACCTCTTCAAATCTCTAATTGAAAACAATATATTGACACTCAAACCCCCTTCCAAAGATAACATCGATGAGGACGTAAATCAACTCTCAAATCTCATTACCATAACTGCAAAAATGTCCATAGGAATAGCCAACAACAAATTAAAAAGACCTCGGGTCCCATGGTGGAACGATGAAATCAAAATGTCTATTATAAATAAAAACAAATCCCTCAAAAAATATCAAAACACACACAATCCGAACGATTTCATTAATTTAAAACGCCATAGAGCGCGCACCAGATTTTTAGTCAAATTCAGTAAAACCGCATCTTGGAAAGCCTACACATCAAGCCTTGACAACCAGACCGATTCCTCAGTAGTTTGGAGTAAAATTAAATCTCTCAAAGGAACCAATCGACAAAGTAACATACAACTTTTATCTAACTCAGAACTCATAACGACACCAAAGGAAGTAGTAAATTCTATTGGACAATTCTTTCAAAAAAACTCATGTACTTCCAACTACGACGACGAATTCCTAATTATTTGCCATCGATATAACTCTCCTCTAAACACAATCGATCCAAATGATACTACACAAACCCTAATTAACTCCCCAATAACCATGGAAGAATTAGAAATGGTATTAAGAACCAATAAAAGCAAAAGTCCAGGACCAGATGGTATCCCTTATGTTTTCATTCAAAATCTACCTCTAAATGGCCTCAAACACCTACTGGACATTTTCAACACTATATGGAATTATAACGTATTCCCAAAATACTGGAGACATGAATATGTTATTCCAATCCTCAAGCCTAATAAAAATAAATATCTCACTGAAAGCTATCGCCCCATCACTTTACTTAGCACACTTTGTAAGCTACTAGAAAAAATCATTAATCGCCGACTCATTTGGTTCCTCGAAAAAATAAAATATATCTCCCCTGAACAAAATGGATTTCGACAAAATAGAAGCACACTGAACAATCTTCTAAGTATCAAAAATGAAATCGAAATTGCTATGAACAACAAACAAAGTTTAGGTTTGATCAGTTTCGATATTGCCAAGGCCTATGACACCACCTGGAGGCCCAGAATAATGCACATACTGAACAAAATAATATGCAAAGGGAACCTACTCAATTTCATCCAAAACCTATTACTCGAACGTTCCTTTCAAGTCAAATCATCAAACTGCTTATCTGATATCTATATACAAGAAAATGGAGTCCCCCAGAGTTCTTCAATTTCAGTAACACTTTTTCTGCTAGCTATAAATGACATCTCTGAACAAATACCTAAGCCTATCATCCCCATGCTATTTGCTGATGATTTCTCCATAATATGTCGGAGCAGCAACCTTATAACAATAAAACAAATACTTCAAGACGCTACAATTGAACTAATTAAATGGTCAAATACATCAGGGTTTAGATTTTCAGCTGAAAAAACCAAACTTATTATATTTAACAACAAAAACAAAAATAAAATGTCAATTAGTATGGGCAAACATACAATCAAAAACGATAAAAATATCAAAATCCTCGGTACAACATTTGACTCAAAATGTACCTGGACACCCCACATTCTACAACTAAAACAAGCCTGCGCCAATCGACTTAATATAATTAAAACGTTATCCCACACATCATGGGGAGCCCATTCCTCGGTACTAATCAAGATCCACAAAGCTCTCATCCTTGCCAAATTAGATTATGGATCATCCCTTTTTTCTTCAGCAAAACACCGGCACTTAAAAAAACTTGAAACACTCCATAACTCAGGTATGCGACTTGCAATTGGAGCATTCCGTTCCAGTCCCATTGACAGCATATGCAATATAGCAGGAATATCCTCCTTATCACTGAGATGGGCAGAGCAGAAAACTTTACAGGCAGCCAGAGTATATAGATCCCCAGAAGGATACTCCTCATCTCCTTTAAGAATATTTAAAAATCTACAAGATAAATTTGACCTAAACCATATCATACCATCTACTATTAGTCTTCAGCCACCTTGGACAATTTCTCTAGACATCAACCTCGATCTCCATCACCTACCAAAAAAAGACACAAATCCTAAAATATATAAACACCACTTCAATGAAATCATAGCTAAAGCCGAACCCCACACACAGATTTACACTGACGCTTCTATAACAGATCAAAGAGTTGGAGCTGCAATCATATGTGGCGCCATCGAAATTCAATTCAAACTATCTGACAAATGTTCAATATACACAGCTGAAGCCATAGCAATACTAGAAGCCATCAAATATTTCACACAAAACTTCGATGACAAACTATGTTTTATACTAAGTGACTCTCTTAGTGCATTAATTAGCCTTAAAAATACAATCTACCCTACTGACATAGCAACAAATATTCAGAACGCCTGTCACATTGTACGGTCTGCTGGTAAACACATATCGTTCATGTGGATTCCAGGGCATAGCAATATAGCAGGCAACGAAAAAGCAGACGAGGCCGCCAAACTCTCGCACACGTCATCTAATGCTATCACAATACCAGATTTCTCATATACCGCCGCAAGAAAATTTATCAAAAATCACACAATCGAAAGATGGCAACAATATCGGTCAAATCAAACAACTAAACTCAACGAAATAAAAAAATCAATAATACCATGGCCTCCCCCTCCCGGCTGTCCTAGAAGACAAGAAACAATTATAAACCGCCTAAGAATGGGTCATACTTCATGTACCCACCGACACCTTATGGTAAAAGAGGACCCACCAAACTGCACCACCTGCGGTGTCCAAGTCACGATCAAACACATTTTCACTGAGTGCAGAAACAACCAACAAGATCGTATGGAAACCCTCGGAACCACTCATCTATACGAAATCCTCAGTCCTGAACCAACCGCAATTCAAAAATTACTTATTTTCTTAAAAAAATTCACTTTATAAAAGAAATATAATTTGTATATACATAATATATAAAATATGTATAAATGTTATGCAAAAATTGTAATAATAATAATATTAATGTAATTTATTAACAGACCAATGGCCAGAGCTGCCGCGGTCTTTTATGTCTAATAAAAAAAAACATTTTAAAAGTCAATTTTTTTCGTTTTGTGAGAGGGCATTGGTAAAAAATGTCCAAATAGTGGGATATTTAATATTCAACGTAGATTAAATTCTATGATAAGAACTGATCACTTGTGACTAATATTATTTAATACAATATATTAATAAATATGTAGCTATTATTTTAATGGATATTATAACCAGTCATTTTCTAAATGTATATTTCAAGTAAGAAAAAAAAAATTGACACTGTTTTAAGGTTTAAAAGATGAATTAAAAAAATACTTAATAATTCGAGAATTATATTCTCCGTAAAAATTACTATACTAAATTATTCAATATCAATTTCATATAAGTTTAATTACTATAATAAGTATCTATTCATATTTTATACTTTTAAATCATAAAAATCGTAATTATGATATAAATAAGAAAATAAGAGTTAATGTTGAAATTTGCTTTTGCATTTAGTTTCTTTTGTAATAATCCAATATTTTTAACACGCTTATATTAGTTTCACATGTATATGTGTTGTATGATGTGTGATGTTAGTAACTTTCCAAGCGCCACGTGTTATTATCTCGCGTATCCCGTCGTCTATGACCTTGAGACTAGACGTCGTAATGCATTCACCCCACCCTGATCACCACCCATCGACAACACTAACCTGTATAATTTTATATTGTTGGTTTTCGTACCCGTTCACGCGTTCATGACATCAATTATATATACAGAGAGATCGAAATCTGGTAAAACACTAATTTTCTTAGAAAATATTGAGAATTTCAAATTTTATTATAGAGAAAAAATATCAAGTTCAAAAAACTACAATAATATGTAGTCAAACCATTATTTTTTTCGTTCTTTCAAGGATAAAAACCCTTATTTATAATTTTCTTAAATAGGAACCTCCCTTATTTTGAACTTCATAGTATGATAAAAAAAAAATTACAAACAATTTTGTTCTTATAATTTTTATTATCTGATTAACCGTTCATCCGTTACAGCTTGTTAAAGTTAAGTGATTTTAGGACAAATTTCTATTGTCATTTTACTGTATTAAATTACAGAAGTCATTATTTTTTTTTTCTGTGGCATAAACCAAATTTTATTGATCAAGTTATGACAGGTAAATTAGGTATAAAAATTTACTACGCACTAAATGAATGATAAAAATAATAGATTCAAATCGTGTTTTCGGTGTATTATTAATAGCTAAGTCTATGGTTTTGCAAGACTAAAGGATCTACACAAAAATACCGGTTACACTGTCACCGATATTATGAAACGTAATAAAACTTGATATAGTTATATATAGTTTCCTATCATTCTTATGTACTTTAATATTTAGTAATGATCTATATCGAGACTACTAGATCAAGAAATGTAATTGAAACACACTTGTGTTTCCAGTATTGCTCTTAATTATACTCGTAAATCATAAAACTTATAACTAGGAATAAATAAGGAAATCGGGGTTGCTTTTGGAATAATTCAATAATTCCTTCTAAAAGTTAAACAGTATTTACAGATTTACATTAAAGCATTTTTATAATAATGATTATAATCACTGTTAGACATTTTTAATTATCTATTATGTCACGTGCCGCGACTTCAATGCACTGCGTTTTTATTAGTGATGAGCATTTTCAAATATTTTAAACTATCGAATAACTATTCGAATTGTTTTTATACAACCGAATAGTGTGTTTTTAGCTTAACTATCGAATGGTTTCAAAAAATATTCGATTAGTTCTATCTAAAATTTTTATTAAGTACACTTAATTGTAATAACAATATAATTAATGAATACTTAAAATAAATTATTATACATTTAATAATAGTAAAAAGTACCATTTTATTTATTTTTAGTTTGTGAGTCGTTGGTAAAAACTGATAAATATGGGTCGAAAATTAAAAAGCAGTTCTTTTTTTTGATGACTAATGATATATTTTCAGTTTTATCGGAAAGGTTTATTCTATGCGCAACAGAAGTATTCGTAAATACTAGTCTTATTTTACACTTAATACCTTGTATACTGTTCTTAGTCTAACATTTTACCCTCTCTTTTGTCTTATAAAGGCATAACACCGATAAAGTGGACAACGCGTTTTAAATTTTACGTTTGTAAAAGTAACAATAAATACTGCCCCTCTTTAAAAATCATATAAACTATTTTTATTAGTCGGTAATCATTGAACATTTTAAAAGTGTACCAAACAGTTTAGTGTAAAATTTATTTTCTCTATAAAATGCTCAAAAAAATAGGTCGAACGTATGGAATTTTGTGGATAATGTTCTCAACTTTCCTAATCAAGATATATGTAAATTATGTAAAGTTAAAATAAAATATGCTAATAATACATCAAATGTTTGGGATCATTTACGCCGAAAACATACTACGGCGTTGGAAACAAATAGATTATCGTCTTAAAATGAAGAACGGGTTGAAATCAATGTTTCTAACGAACAGTCATCACCCTCAACAAGTAAAATAAAATAAAATATTTAATAATCACTAATTAATCTAATAATCATTTAATATCATACTAAGGCAACGCGATTATTATTGACTGTTTCCGTATCTTTTCTAAACGAGTTTTTTCAATATAACTCTCATTGAATATTTTTTTTATTAATATATTATTAAAATACCACTAAATAGATAAATTAAAAAAAAAAATTATAAGTATTTATTTATTAAATGTGTTCTTAAGGTTCTTTAACTGCGAATTTAAATATGCGAGAACAAATAACTAAACAAACCCAAGGAACTCAACAAAGAAGACCAAAACAATTAATACTAACTAATGGGTAATAGTGTTATTTATACAAGTTACTATGTAAAATTACTTTTAAATAAAATATAAAAAAATGATATTGATTTATAGGTTCAGCTTACCATCAGAGAGCAAAGTTGATGGATTTAATAGAGCTATTGTCGAAATGATTTGTCGTAACTCAAAAATTAATAAAAAGTATTAAAATAATATATAAGTAAAAAAAGTTAGAATAATATTGTTGTTGGAATTAAAAAAATGTGAAAGTTACTTTTGATTCGGTGTGTAATTCAAGGGTAATAAAATAACAATGTAAATTTTCTTATGGATTTAAAAAAATCTTACCTGGTTAATTCTCTGGTTCTTATAATATCCTTAGTGATGATATTGGTAAAAATGATAAATAAAGTAACACATGTGTCAGATTTTTAGTTCACAAATGAACACATAAAAACTTCGACAATGACGATCACGACGTTCGCACAGCTTAATACGGAGCACGAAAAGAACAGCCCGTAGGAAGGGTTTGCTCTGGCTTTTTATCAGTGGCGTAGCGTGGGATTCAGCTTAGTGTATGCGTTGAAATTGTAAGTTTATTTTGTCGTTAAATACGGTAATTTTGGCGTGAGTCTTCCAATCTCAATAATACTTTTTTCTCATCAAAATTTAGAGAACCGAAAGGCTTTAAAAACAATTTTTCAATTGCACATTCGCATATTATTGTATTATTTGAATTCATTATTGACGTGCCATACAATATACAGTTAACACACACTTATAATAATAGTTTAGTAAATCGACAGAATAACTCGATATACGACGGTCAACGACAGAGTATGCAATACTAATCCCGCATACACGTGTGACTAACACACGACCGCGAGCTTAATATGTTTTGTTATTAATATTATCGATAAGAAATATAATTAATTAACTGACACTGAATGTCTGTACCCGCATGCACTCGCCAACGTGCATACTGCGTACATAATAAACATGGTAGGTACTAGCCACTAGATATTATAAGGACAATAGCGCCGCGCGACTGTTGCGGATTAATCAATTTTAATGATTAATGAACTTGAAAGAAAATCCACAAAATATTATATTATGAAATACTAAATTAGTACAGTTGAAAATTGTTTTATAAAAATATAGCATTATTAATATATATATATATATATATATATAAAATTATTTTTGTAATTTGCGAAGTGCATACACAGCATACGCACGCGCTACGCCACTGCTTTTTACAATATTTTTTTACCCCCAAAAATCGTCACTGTCGAATTTTTAATATAATTGTTTATTGATAAATAAGCATGAAACACAGAATACAAATACAAATGAATAGAAGATAAATTATTTTGACATTTACATGTTTTTTTTTACGAGTAAGACGAAGATTAATACAATGCATTTAACTATTAATAGTAGAATAACAAAGATGACAAAAATAATATATACAGGGTGTTCAGTAAGTCAGGAAACGGGTATCTATTGTTCTCATTGTTACAAACAACGAGAACAATAGAAACCCGTTTCCTGACTTACTGAACACTCTGTATATTTTCTTTTGGTAAGGAAGGATTTTAAAAGGATTTTATGACCGAACCGCATACAACACTACAATGTAGCCATACAGTGTGAGTTTGTTGACTATTTCTCTTAAATGTTTATCTAAATTTTTGTTCGAAAAGGATCACGTCCTTGTAAGAATATAATGTATAAACAAGTTAAAATGTACCATTTTCATGGTATTTCAAAAAATACCATTTCTATGGATAGAAGTGGTGACTATTTGAAATGAAAAAAGAATATACTAATAAATACTAAAAAGATAGCATTGTTGAGCACATGAACAGGGTATTTTAGTGTTGTCCCGTATAAATAGTAGTGACGATTATATTACGACAAATGATATTATGAAAAATATAAATATATACAGAGTGATCCATGAACCCCTTGGTCACTCGTAAAATAACAATAATTTTGAAAAAAAAAATTTTAAATAGTGTAAGTTACATATTATTTTCAATTAATTCATTATTAAATTCGTTTTAGGTTCATCCCTTATACCTTGTAAGTGTATCAACTTTATTTTTTCAAACGGCAATATACATAATTAACTAACTTATAAATTAGATAATAATATTATTAATAAAATGACTAATCGATAACAACTTTTGGACTAGTATTTTAGAAGTTATAGCATTTTAAAAAATGAACTGGGGTGAGTCACAGGTATATTTAGGGTAGCTCTTATTTTATTAACTTTCATTAATCGATCTCCATACCCGCCAATTTTGTTTTTTATTATGTGAAAGGTATTAGTGTAAAATTTGGTTTTGATAACTTTCCCCCTTCAGGTACGAATCGGAGTTGAAAATTTTCTCAAAAAGGTAATTTTTCAGTTCTTGATTATTATTTTTTAAACTAACACACTTAGCGTAAAAACTTATAAAATATGAATTATAGATTTTAATATTTTTTTCTAAAATGGTATTCACAAAAATTTTCTAAAATTATTTTTACTTGCTCAAAAAAATAAAATAAAAAAATAATTTGCTAAAATTCATTTTTTGAATATAAATCATTCTTAATTTTCGAAATAATCATTTTACAACAAAATGTTTCGAAAAAAAAATATGTCAAGTAAATTTTTTTTAAAACATTGGTCTTATGTAAATTTATAGTCAGATTTATAGTTTTGCTGTTCTAATAATACTAACAACTAAATAGGATTGTTTTTCGTTAATGCTTAATATGATATATTTTCGAAGCATCTGTTCCCATTAAATTTATAAGTCTACCCATTTGTACACAAACGTTTTCTTAATTTTTTTTTTTTTTTTAGTTGACAACGTATAAATTTATTTTTTGTTTGAACAAACGAAAGTTTTCATTTAAATATCCACTTCACAATAGTGGCCCAGGTTTGTTAAACAATTTCATTTTTTTTTCATTGTGTTCAAATTATATCTACATACGTTTAATTTAGCTCTAAGCCGACTTCGCCATGTTTAATTATTAGTTGTTATAATTAATTAGTAAAATAAACAAAGATAGAAAAACTACTTCTTTTATTATATATCCTCATATGGTTTTTATCACTTGTATATTATGACACGACCACAGCGTTATCACCGGTTTGATACCCCGCGCTTGTGTCGCCAAAATTATTTCAACTCCGCTCCCCTTGACAATTATCTCACACTTAATACTTTCATAACTTAGAAAAACAATATATATAAATACATCATTTATTTTTTCATACATATTTGAATTATTTATTTTAATAATCAGAGTATTGTACATTAATGTTTAATTTAGCTATAATAATTACAAGAGAATAAAAATAAATTATTTTATTTTATTCTGCCTGTTCATCATTATGTTTTAATATGATAAATAAAAAATTGATACAAGTTGGAATTGTCTTAAAAACAATTATTAAAGTGTTTTTTTCGTCTAATACTATTTAGATCTTTGAAATGGAGTACCTTCAATTCAAAATACTATTTGCACTAATTATTTCCAAATTGTAGATAAAAATATTTTCATTTCTCTTTATAAAGTTGATCTTAGGACACTTTCAATTTAAAATAATGTTTTTTTTTGTTTTATTTAAATAAAATAAACTATTAAAACATATAGATCATATTTAAAATAAAATAATAAATTATCTTTAATGCAAGTATTCTCTTTCTGTATTAGTTTGCGAAAATTTATGAAAGTTCGATGACAATTTGTTATTATATTACAATATTTATTTTCGATAGAGCTATTAATGATAATATTATTAATACAACATCATACTGAAGAAATTCTGTCATTATTCACTTTGAATATTTATTACTACATCATTTAGAACGAAAATGGTTTTAACATTAATTTTTTAATTTATCAGAAGAAATCATAAACTTATGATTAAAGTGAAAAAATCACTAATGACTAGCTTTGAAGATATTTGATATTTTGATTGTATTTGATAACTTATAATAAATCATTCATAGTCTCCACCAGTTTTTTACATTTAAGTGTTTGGCATATGTTTTATAATGATACTGCAAAACTATCAAATCAATTTAAAAGAGTTAAAGTGATTGCGTTACTAAAACGTGGGAAATACGGATACGAAACCGCACATTATCAGCCTATATCATTACTAAGCAATACGTATAAGATCCTAGAAAGAATGATACTAGAACGTGTACAACCATATATCGACGAGGTTGGAAATTCCAAAGGAAAATTAAAACCAGTGTAGCTTTCATCGATTTTTCAGCAGCATACGATACAGCATGGAGAGACGGTCTTCACAATAAGTTCGCTAAGGTCATTTCATGCAAACAATTATTTACGCTCCTAGATAGGATCCAAGTAACTCACGCATAGTAATTAATGGTCTTCCACAGGGAAATTTTTCCTACCCAATTTAATTCATACATACTTGATGTGTCAACTGAGGAAATTCAACCAGGGCATCGAAGGAATTCACGCAATAAGACCGGAGGCAGTAAGATGTATAAAGGAATTGAACGTGCATATCTAAATTAACATTAATTAACGCTAGCTATATATCTAAATAATAATGGTGTAATAACAAAATCGAGTTGTTTTAATTAAATATTATTCAACCACTTGTTATCATTCTATTATTTTTATGTATGTTATACTTCTTATAATTTTATACTAATTTTCATTATTACTGGATATCTAAACAAAAATTAGACTGCTGTAATGTTGATTTGTGTCCAAGCCATACGACTAAATAAGTAAAACATGTTTTATGATCAATGCAAATTTATTTATTTAAAAAAAATTTGAATTTTTTCCTCGGTGTATTACTACAAATAATAAGTTTTCATTTGATTGTTTACTATTGATATGGTCCCGCGTCCTCTCATGAAACACGAAGCCCTAGTACGTGTATACAGAAGTTTGATAAACACCGCGTGTCATACGTCACAGTACAAAGTCCGACATAAGCCGCAAGGCCGAACACTACCAGCCGCAATTATTCGTTGAAGTCGCTTTTGGGACAATAGTGTGAACACCGTTCGGTATGAACTAGACACAATCGTACTAGTTATCAGTAGTATTTTTTTTGTTTTATTTATTCTGAACCATTTGAATTACTATAATATTACGTGGATTATGAAGTGTTTGTTCGCCAACAAAAACGGTTATTAACCACAACCGTGTGTCGCCTACATTTTTTGTGTTTTCACCACCACTCTTTTATTTATTCCGTAAATAGAATTATTTATGTACACATTTTTTATAATACAATATTGAACCCCAGGGATATTCCTGGTTACGCTACTGGGTAAAATGGACTAGTATAAAAGTATAAACACTTAAAAATATATAGGTTTATTTAATTAAGGTGGTTGCTATTGTTTTTTGTTTTAGAATTAATTATATTATATTTTAATATTATATAATACTTAAGTGAATTTTTTTGACAGAAAATTTTGGTATTCCAAATTATAGTATTTTGTATCACTTGATTTACTGATTATTAATTTTTTAAAATTATCTTTTATTTTTTATTAATTACATTTAAATTAAAATTAATAATGACGATTTTGATATGTATAATATTTAATTCGTAATTATATTCGATTTGGCTTGATGGTATTTTTTCTAATCTATATTAAAATTGAATTGAAATAAGCTTTTTACACAAAATGGGTATGTTTATAAGTTATGTATGTACGCCACTGCGTCAAGGATATATTTTTGGATATCGATATCGTACTGAATTTAAGCGATATTATATCACAATTTTGTTTAAAAAAATTGTTACATTTGAATGTATAAATATACTCAAAAATTAAATTTAATATTTAAATATTTTCTCTATATTTTTAATTTTCAAAAATACCATTAAGTTATCATCGTTGTAAAAAACAGACTATGTATATCAGACTAATAATACTAATATAACAAAAATATAGGTAATAGCTATATCTTATAACAATAATCAAATATTTTCAAATTACTTTTTACTAAGAAGAAAAAGTTTTCTTTTTTTTGTTACAAGACTTATTCATTATATTTGGTTATATTAAATGGATGAAATTGTTCTTTATTGAATAATAGTATTATAGTTTCAGTGTTTTGGTTTTAAATAATAAAAAGAGATAATAAGTACTGTTTAAATTTTTTATATTTATACTATAACTGATAATATTTTTTTTTCTTTTATAAAAATAAAATTTAATAATAAAATAATCTAATAAAATTTAAATTTTTATTGAATAAAACATCATCTTAATTTGAAAAGTTTTTTTTTTTGGCTCAATAATTTCATTTTACTATATAGATTGAATTTTAACCAGGTGTTTCTGTACATTTTCTAATTAAAAAATTTCCTTCTTTAATTCTCCTCATACTTTATTCGTGATTTGTTAAAAATAGGAATAATGTCCTATCTCAATTGTTTATTTAATAATATAAAAATATTAACAAGATTACTGTTTTTGGACTAATATCAAAAAATATATATTTTATAACAATGTGACCAAAATTCAAACAATTTTTTTTTTCGATTATTGCGATATTTCAAAAATAATCAAAATTGTGGGAAAAATGAAAAAAGTCGGCGATATCGAATCGTAATATCGATATCAATGACGAACCTATTAAATAATATGCTGGTACTTACTTATTTGGGTAGGTTTTATGTAGATACTATATTCAAAAAAAAAAATTTTTTTAAGTGTATGGTGAGATCTAAATAATTAATTTTGTATTCGTAAATTTCAAGAGTAAAATATCTTGTGTAACAACAACCCATAAATTTTAATTCTGTCGAAATGAAAAAATTCAATGTGAATCATTACGCACAATTTAATAATAAAAATAACACTTGAATACATATCATATAAATTACAAAATAATTTACTAACATAACATTAAATTTTTTTTCATATAATTAATTATGATTAAAATTCCATATTAATTTTATAAACATTCTATTTAATATTATAGATTTATAAAAATATATAATGTATTTATTACATGAAAGATTAAAATGATAAAATAAAAAACAAGCTATTTATTTAGAAAACTTGTCGCTTAAACATTGATAATTCTTAAAACTAATTATATATTACTCATACAAAATGTTTTCATACAATAATACACTAAATGCAAGGGCTCCACAACACCAAGTTTTATTGTTTTTATGAAAAGTGGTAGTTTTCTAGTTTTTTACTTTTTTTATTTTGAGGTTGTATAATTCAATTTTTTGACTCTTACATACTTTTATATCCGGGACACCTTTTAGATATTGATTCTGATGATTTAAGTGATAATTCAAGCATTATAAGCGATTATTTAACCTAGTCTGAGTTCGAAAATAGTAGTAGTGACGACAAAATCAAAATGAAGACGACGGTGATGATAGTTCTTCAGATACTCAGGCAAGATTCTTACGATTTTATTATTGTAAAAATAGATGTAAGTGAGCTACAGATGCTACATGTGTTTAAAAAATGTATGTCACATTCGAGACTTTTGGTAATATAACTAAGATCTTACTTAAAAATAAATATAATTTTATAGTTTAGAAATACTTTTCTTTTTATTAATACACTTCCTTTAATTCTAAAAACAAAAGTTTCGAATAACTTCAAATAACCAGTCGAGATTCTATCATTACAGGGAATATTAATAAGAATATTATTAACACATGTAATATTCTTTTATATTAATTTATAAAATCAAAACATTTCATCTACGCTTAGCAAAGATATATGTAATGATATTGTAATATTCTCCTTTAGAATATTAATAAAATCAATACCTCTTGTATTTCTAAGACTACAGAAAAGAATATGCAAATACGATTACACATATGATATTGACTTTTGGCAACTATAAAATAGACGTGAATCATTGTCTTTCATGCCGTCTTCGAGGCACCACTAGAGTACTAAAAAAAAGGAAATAAAAAATAATAATTCTTTTGCGTTTTATGAAATATAGAATGATAACTGAATGTGCCTATAAAAAGTATGACACATTCAAGACGCCCAATCCCTGTTTATGACTTGTGGTACATTATATAAAGGCTGAAGACACTGTTTTTCTAGTCAGTCACTCGCTCATTTTTTTTCTTACTTAATAATCACTTTTATCGAGTTAAATCTCTAAGATTATTTCTTACCTACTTTGGCATATTCTTTAAACTGTGAGTCTATAATATTAACTTTCTTCATTATATTTAAATAACACATTTGTTAAAATAATTAACATTTTCAATAGTAATAAATACGCTTTAATTAACCAAATACGACTCTCTTTTATCAACATAACTAATATAATAATTAACATTCTTAATAAAAATAAATCTACAATCAAGATTCTATCACCATCGGTGAATATCAGGTAAAGTAGTTTTAATACACGAACTACATTAAATAAATTTTATTGAGTTAAAACCGTTAGATCTTAATATTACCCTTTATGTATAATCCCCCTTACAACTTTTTTTTTCTTTCTTTTGGGTTATTACAATATACATAGTACATAGTACATCATTAATGTCATAATGTATTATTTAAGACTTCAATCAATCAATTACATAAAATGAAATGTTTACCAATAAGATACACATATGTACCTTTTAAATATATAAATATACTAATGAAATTTCGTAGAAAAAAAGCNCGATTGAGGCGATCCAAGCGGCCGTGACGAGGGTACTCATGGACATTCCAGTTGAAGCGTTCCAGAAATGTTACGACGCGTGGAAAATGCGATGGGCTCGGTGTATAGCTGCCCAAGGGGACTACTTTGAAGGGGATAGAACAGTTGTTGAATAATTTTTAAATATACGGCTTTTATAACGTCAGTCTCATTACTTAATTGTCACACCTCGTATTCATTATATAAAACAAACAGGAAATAATAAACAATATGTAATGGTAGCACATAAGATGTAGGGTAACAAACTATGTCTAAAATATTACATAAGATATGATAGTATTTCATAATATGTAGATAATTGATGAAAATTTAGGTAATATTATTTTGATACTTAGTTAAATTCAAACGTCTCGTTGGCGATTGCCAGTGACATGTCGACGCCGCTGAGGCGTATAATAGTTTAATTTTGTTTGCATGGTCCTTGCCGAAAAAGCCATAAATGAGTTCATACAGCTACACGTATGGATTAGCAACATACAACGTATTACTTATCATTGTTTGTTTACACAAATTAATTCTCGTACCGCGTTGTAAAGGGCATCTTTCTTTTTAATTAAATAACGTATTTCATCACATAAAATTTTATTACCATGATTCATTGTAACAGACCTAAGAGCCCTCTGGGATCTGATCAGCTTTTGACAATTCGTCAAAGAGCCACTTCTATTTTTTCTCCTCTAGCGTTCAGACTTAAGTGCTCAGCTTCACTCTTTTACTTTGCAACCTTTTTATCAGTCTTACATTGTGACTTGGTGTCTTTATTCTTAATATAATTTAATAGTTTAACTTAATATAAATTCATGTTTAAATGACTATCAATTATAATACATGCTTACATAATAAACTATTTTTCTATTTATTTAACATCTAATAAATCTAAATCACTTCTTCTCCTCTCTACACCTTAAAACAAGATTTGCAGTCAAGATATATCAAGTAAGAGTAGTTTAACACACTAACTACAATTAATAGTAATAACTAATAAAATACTTTAATTCATAATTAGTCTCTTCTTTCGCTTAAATATATCTTAGTTCTAACTTCACACATCTTACGTTTCCTTCTATTAATTTATTTATGCCATCTACCTTCACTGTCATTCTCTCTCTTTTTTATTAGTTATTACAATAATAAAATGCCGGAAGACAAACGTGGAAAAAATATTAGTGGAAACGCAATAGACGGTGACATTTATGTTGAAATTCATCAACACATCAATCGATTTAATGTTAAAAATACCCATTATGGAATAAAATCTAAAAAATATTTAGATGCACGATTAAACATCGTAAACATGCATCAAATGTTTGTGAAAGAATATCCAGATTTAGCAATCAAAGTAAAATACAACTTCTATTATAAATATTTTAAAGAAAATTTTGATTATACCTTTGGTCAACCACAAGTAGATGTGTACAGCCAGTGCGAAATTTTAAACACGAAAATAAGAGATACAGCCTTAAGTGAGAGTGCTAAACGGCGTGCAGCTGATGAGCTTATATTACACAAAAGAAGAACCAAAAAATACTGAGTTAATTACTGCCAAGAAAAAAACGATGATGACACGGTAGTTTTATGTTTTGACTACATGTCAAAATTACCCTTACCGAACATACCTGTTCAAGAGGTTTTTTATATGCGCCAGTTATAGGTAAATATTTTTTGTATACATGACGTAAAAACAAATCAGGCAAAAATGTATATGTACAATGAAGGAGAGGCTAGGAAGTCTCCGGATGATGTTTGTTCTTTTCTTCTACATTATTTTGAAAACTGTATCCTCGTCAACGCATGAATATTATTCTATTTAGTGATGGGGCAGCTAGACAGAACAAAAACCATACAATGGTACGATCAGGCAGGAACGTTACATAGTTAACTGAGGCATCGGTCAACAACTTCATAGAATTTCACTTGTTTACTTTTTCTGTATTAGATTGGTTTGTGCGCGAAAATGGCAAAATTCGAGCCAAACAACGGTCATTCAAAATGAAATTACCAAAAGGTGACAATAATGTAGAACATCTTGTTGAATACATGGAAAGATCTGGAGTGTTATGTTTTTTAGAAATAGCTGAAAACTTGAAAATTTTTCGAAATCTCACAACGTTTGACAGAGGAATAATGAATGATGGGTTTATTATCCGCGATCTGGAAGCATTACGAACCGTTCGGAGCTGTGCCGATTTACATAAAAATGAAATTCAAGCGGGTAATTATAGATGCTGTTCGGAGCACAATATTATTTAAAATTATTTTTTTATAATGTACGCTATCCCGACGACTCCACGGCATCTATTTGCAGTTCAGGCACATGTTTTGTAGAGTTATCAAATATTCAAGAACTTGTAATTGTACAGAAGGTAGTTGAGGAGTTTGTTTTCACTTGTTTACTTTTTCTTTGTTTGATTGGTTTGTGCGGGAAAATTGCAAAATTCGAGCCAAACAACGGTCATTCAAAATGAAATTACCAAAAGGTGACAATAATGTAGAACATCTTGTTGAATACATGGAAAGATCTGGAGTGTTATGTTTTTTAGAAATAGCTGAAAACTTGAAAATTTTTCGAAATCTCACAACGTTTGACAGAGGAATAATGAATGATGGGTTTATTATCCGCGATCTGGAAGCATTACGAACCGTTCGGAGCTGTGCCGATTTACATAAAAATGAAATTCAAGCGGGTAATTATAGATGCTGTTCGGGGCAAAATATTATTTAAAATTATTTTTTTATAATGTACGCTATCCCGACGACTCCATGGCATCTATTTGTAGTTCAGGCACATGTTTTGTAGAGTTATCAAATATTCAAGAACTTGTAATTGTACAGAAGGTGGCTGAGGAGTTTTTTTTCAACCCCTATTCTATGTACTATTTGATATTACATTTTCCACTTCACTGTTCGTGTAAATTTTGTGATGAACAAATATTTACATGGACAGTGTAGATTAATTGTTGTATATACCAGATGTATGCATAAGTCTTTTCCGGTTTTACTAAGAGATGGCGCCAACGAATAATACACTGCGCATTATAGTGAAATCTAAATTGTATTCGACGGTGGAGTTAGGGCTCTGTTATATTCTCCTTTGGAATATTAATAAAATCAATACCTCTTGTATTTCTAAGACCACAGAAAAGAATATGCTAACACGATTATACATATGGTATGACTTTTAGCAACTACAAAGTAGCCATGAGTCATTGTCTGTCTCAGCGTCTTCTAGGCACCACAAAAAGCATTAAATAAGGGAAGGTGATAAATAAAAAGTAACTGTCTTGTTTTGATTGTAAAGCATGACTCAATCAAGACGTTTCATCCCTGTTTATGCTTTTCGTGGTATGTTATATAGGGGCTGGAGACTGCTTTAGTCAGTCAATCTTTCATTTTTCTTGTTCACTTCTCTCACTACAATGTCAAATTAATTAATTTAGAAATGATTCCAAACATACTCGTGCGTGTTCTTTTCTGCTGTTTGTTTTTAGACTTAACTTTTGACACTAAATTTAAAATATACATTTGTTAAAATAATTAACATTTTCTATATTAATAAATACACTTCTACTAACCAAATTCGATTCTCATTTATTAACATACTTACTATAGTTTTAAATATATTCTTAACAACCATAAATCTACACTCAAGATTCTATCATCAGTGAATATCAGGTAAGAGTAGTTTTAATACACTAACTACATTTATTAAGTAAAAACTATTAGACTTTAATATTCCCCTCAACACATAGTATAAACTCTACACTTCCCCCTTTTACAGTCGCCTTTTCTTTCTTTTAGTTATTACAGCGCGTTCCGGTCGGGCAAAAGCGTCATAGCGCAAGACACTATCACGTCGTGATAGGGCACAAAGGGTCCATTATAGGGCTTATGTTAGCACAGAGTTTAGGAGTGACGTTAACCATAGGGCTTTCCTTAGATCAGGATTCAAGTGTGACGTCAGCTAGGGGCATAAAGTTATGAGATACACTTGGATGCAGGCCCCAACAAGCGACGGGGCCAGGGGGGTTACGGTAGGTTAGGTGTGACGTCACCATGACGAACTGAACCTCACCTGTGCACCCATTGTTTTCTCAAGAACAATAGATGACGTAATTTGTCGGCACCTTTGAGAGCCCGTATTCGCCATACATATACTACTGAAATGCAGTCTACACCAACTATGTCCAACATGTATCATAAAATAATGTATTAGAAAAATATCTCACAAAAATTATTATCTTTTGGGATATTGGTACACTTTCACACAGGATGTAAAATATTATTTTAGTAATAGACCCATTGCTTTCTTAGCTAGTGAAATAGCTTTTTATGCAAAATATGCCATAGAGTTGGAAATGAGAAAATACTATAAAACTGTGTTTTAGCAAAACACAGAATCTGATTGGAGATATATGTTATAGAAAAATAAATTAAGCGACAATAGTACAAGTGCGGCAACATAACTTCCTTTTTTGAAATGCCCGCCATTAAAGTTTTATAGCTCGTAGCGGAGCGGGAGTGGTGTCATTTGACAGCCGTGATTGTAGTTTAAACGTGACACGAGTCGCGAGACGACGTCAATCATCAAGCTATGAGGGACCGTAGAACATTTATCATCAAAATAAAATGTTAAAACAAAATCATTCTAAGAGAGCTCACAATGTTCATATTCTAAATTGGCAATAGAACTTAACACAAAAGTTACATAATAATAAGTTTTACTACACTTAGTATGGTACATAAATATAACTTCACTAACCAAATAGAATAATACTCACTCACCCAGGACGATGGGAATATGAACAATGTACGATAATGTTTGAATGAAAATGTAAATACTCGAGAACTCTATTACAAAAACTTGATGAAAACATCGAACAAAAAAAAAAAAAAAAAA